CTGAAGTAGCAAAACAGCCCCAGACCATCACACTACCACCACCATGTTTTACTGTTGGTATGATGTTCTTTTTCTGAAATGCAGTGTTACTTTTATGCCAGACGTAATGGGACACACACCTTCCAAAAAGTTCAACTTTTGTCTCGTCAGTCCACAGAGTATTTTCCCACAAGTCTTGGGGATCATCAAGATGTTTTCTGGCAAAACTGAGACGAGCCTTTATGTTCTTTTTGCTCAGCAGCGGTTTTCGTCTTGGCACTCTGCCATGCAGACCATTTTTGCCCAGTCTTTTTCTTATGGTGGAGTCATGAACACTGGCCTTAACTGAGGCAAGTGAGGCCTGCAGTTCTTTGGATGTTGTTGTGGGGTCTTTTGTGACCTCTTGGATGAGTCGTAGCTGTGCTCTTGGGGTAGTTTTGGTCGGCCGGCCACTCCTGGGAAGGTTCTCTACTGTTCCATGTTTTTGCCATTTGTGAATAATGGCTCTCATTGTGGTTCGCTGGAGTCCCAAAGCTTTAGAAATGGCTTTATAACCTTTTCCAGACTGATAGATCTCAATTAATTTCTTTCTCATTTGTTTCTGAACTTCTTTGGATCTCGGCATGATTTCTAGATTTTGAGGATCTTTTGGTCTACTTCACTTTGTCAGGCAGGTCCTATTTAAGAGATTTCTTGATTGCGAACAGGTGTGGCAGTAATCAGACCTGGGTGTGGCTAGAGAAATTGAACTCAGGTGTGATAAACCACAGTTTTAACAGGGGGGCAAACACTTCTTCACACAGGGCCATGTAGTTTTGGATTTAGTTTTCCCTTAATAATAAAAACCTTCATTTAAAAACTGCATGTTGTGTTTACGTGTGTTATCTTTGACTAATATTTAAATTAGTTTGATGATCTGGGGCCAACACTTTTTCACACCACTGTATATAAATGACCTATTAGCCATTGCTACGGATTAAGAGTTATCTTACATTTAGTTACTGGTAACATGAGCGAAATTTCATTGTCAGTTGTCAATAGAGATGAAGCACCACTCAGACAAAAACGTATTTTAAACTGAGTAGTTTTCTGTTGATCAACAAGTGAATTTGCGCAAATTGGAAAAAATTGAAAACGAGCGAAATCTTTGTGACCTATTTCACCCTCAGGTGAAACTTCCATTCGCGCGATATTCCTAATGACTGGTACAACGGAGCAATGGTAATAGTGACCGCACCTTTATAAGTTACTTTTTTTTTAAACCATCTTCTCAAGTGTCTTATATCATTAGATCTATTTGGTAATATTATTAAACAGCACATAATATTTTAGAGAGACAACCAAAAACATCACAGAATTCATCAAATCTATTTCGAATAGGATACTTACCGCTTTCGCCGTTTTTCACTTCCTGCATGATGTCTTGAGGGATTGGCTTTTGTGAAAGGCTCTAAAAACCTATTGTTTTTCCTGAAAACCAATAAATTGCTTATTAAAATAACATAGGACACACCTTTCTATTGATTTCTTTATAAATAGACCTTTTTCCATATGAAAAGCATAATAAAATAAAACTAATACGATTCACATCTTAACAAATTGTGAGTATATTTTATTTAATATGATTAAAATACATGTAGCCTACTGAAAATGTACTGCATAACAGGAATAACCTGCATGTGTTCATATGCTTCTGATTTTAAGGGTTTTTAATTAAAATGTTGTTCCAGGATCAACAAAAGATTTTGATCCAGGAACGTGTCTTCCTACTTGCATTTTTAAACATAAGGTTGTATAGCTTATGCAACCTTACATCTCTGGGAAACAATCAATAATCAGATATTCTTAAATTAAACTAAAATACATAGGATTCATATTAGTCATACAACAAGAGTGGGAAAACCTCAAAGTATTATTAGCTAGAATAAGTCAGAGACTTATTGAATATTGCACACAGTGTCACGACTCAAAAGGTAAGATGAATATGAGAAATCCAAAATCAATTTCAGATGCAGGTGCACTCAACCTAATGGAAGCTTCAAAACTGATAGCAGAGCGCGAGATGGTACATCATCGGTCATGTTTTTGACATGTTCTGCGTTTTTTGTGTCATGAACTGAAAGACATTAATGTTGTTCCGTGGAAACTGTAAATAATCGACATGATTATTTTTGTCGTGCCTCAGATTTGTGTATGTGTACTGTATATACATTAGCTTCTTGTATAAACTTGTGTATAAATGTCCTGTGTGTAAATGTTTTATCCTTTATGTGACTACATAAAGCCACTATATAACCAGAAACTAATGATGGATATTTAATTTTTACATTCTTTTAATTTTATGTCTGAACCTCTACTCAGATTAATTAGTAATTACAAAGGTCTGTTTAACCTTTTGTTCCTGCATGTCCTCTGTGGGTCACTGGACTATACTGCCAGCAATAAAGGATTTCAGCACAGCTCTAATTACTCTGTGCATGTGGCTCTGCTCAACAATAAACAAGTCTGCTGCTGGAAGACATCCAGTTCTGCCTGTAACTTTCTCCTTGGCCACAATTCTTTCTGAAATTAAGTTCCTGAATGAAAGTTTGATCTTCAAACTTTTAGATATATCTTACATGGCATTTTACAACAAAATAGATAAAGAAAGAATAATTTAAAAACAATCTATCCATCCATCCATCATTTTAATAATTAAACCATCTACACTGAACAAAATTATAAAAGCAACACTTTTGTTTTTGCCCCTATAATGAAAATATTTGTACGTATGCATGCATGTGTACTGTGTATATTTAATGTGTACATAAATATACAAATGTACATGTATATATTTTAGAAATATATATATATATATATATATATATAAAAAATAACATTTTTCATTTGATTTTTCACAAATTATATCAGCATACCATTATGAGTGATAATTTGAATTAATCAAAACTGAATTTCTAGTAGAATTTCGTAGCACACCAACTACAAATTTACTTTATACAGAGAAATAACTAATCATTATATCAATCAAACGCAAGTGGGCATTTCTTACAATCCTTCTAACTATTCCTTACTGTGTCTTATTCAGAAAAATTCACCTTCTCAATCTACACAGGCTGCTTTCCTGCTCTCCTCCCATCATCCACTCTAATCCAGAGTGACATTTTCCTAATTTTACAGGCCATTAGCTTCCGTCCATCTTCTTGCTTAACTCTCAGCAAACCACCCACTCTTTCACTGGCCTGTGCAAATACAGCAGTGCACTGACTCTGCTTACACACAACTATAGCTTATCTAAAACCAGTAACAATACAGCTAATACAGAATCAGTCTACACAAGGTGATTGTTGATGGATCACCTATATGGGGAACATAGAACCAAAATCTTATATTACATAATGAAAGCATTTATCATATTTTTTTTTAAACACAGCTCTCTTGAATACTTGATTTTGATTGGTCTACGGCAGATCCTCTTGGTCTAGCAGCTGGTCAACAACTATAAAAAATCCCCTCGCATTTCAGATGTTATCCTGACATAAGACAGGAATCAGATGCAGCTGGCATGCAGATTTTCAGGTTATTTCACAGCTCTACACTGATAGGGTGCTGCAGGTGTCAGTGAGGGCCTCAGCTGGGCTTGTAAACTGCTGTATAGATAAATGCAATCTTACCTTGTAGAGCGCGCTCAATGGCATCTGGTCCACTTTAGCAACACCTTTGACCTCATGCTGGTGCAGGTGCTTCATCATGGCCCGATTTTCACTCTTAGCAAAGTTCCCCTGAGAGAAAACAAACAAACAAACAAAAAACTGTGTGTGAATACCCGCTCCAGAATTAAGCAAGCACTAGATTAGGCATAGCTTTACCATTCCCACACTTATTGTAGAGGGTATCATCGACTACTTCACATTACAATCCACATCACGTTCAAAATGTCACAATATCATAACTAGATCGCTACTGAAACCCAGCGCGTCTAGTTTCAATCTATCATCTTGAGTTTGATTTACTTTTGCATATTACAGTGCATCATTGGCCATGTTCACAAAGCAACAGAAAAAAGATTGTCATTGTGGTTTGGAGCCAAATATGGTTTTTATACATCTTTTGTGAAAACCTTTCTTTTGATGAAAGAGTGACAAGTGTATTCTAGAAATGAAAATACTATGACAGTATGTGACTTAAAAATAATGACTTAAAGTTCAGTCTTTTCCTCACAAAGCTAGAGCAAGATGATGGATACTAAAATTGTAGATAACGCAATAATTATTTTCATGTTATTCCTGATTAACAATAAATGGCTGGTTATAATATTTTAACATTATAATGTTAATATTCTGTGTAATAAATAAATTTAAAAAACGCAAAAAAAAATTACAATATTTAAAAATGTAAAGTTTTTAATCATTTTTTCAGTATGGAAAATGTTAAGATTTGTTGTAATGTACATGTAAAATAGATGTAAATAAGCATCTGTGCAATATTAAATTATTATGAAAAATACAATTATATATATATAAATATATAAAATAACATACCATAAGTACCATATTTAGTACTGTCCTGTGAATAAGATATTTCACATAAAAGATGTCTATATGTAGCTGAATTGATAAAAATGACCCCATTCCAAATTTCACATAGACCTACGCTTAATTCTTAATACTGTGTATCATTACTTAGATGTTTTGTGATGGTTGAGGCCCCAGAAGGAAACAATGCAGTATGGAGGTGAAAACTTTTGAAAAGGATGAAGATGTGTACATTTTTCTTATTTTAAGTATCATATTTTTTTCCATTTAGTACTGCCCTTCAGAAGCTACAAAAGATCCCTACATGTTTCCAGAAGACAAAATAAGTAAAATTTTCCACAATCTCCAAATTCAGAAAGTTTTCACCCAGGACAGTTCAATTAGCCCAATTCAAACAGCTCTGGACTGAGTTTCCCAAAAGCATCATAAGCCTAAGAAGATCGTAGAACCAACGGCACCAATGGTTTCTACGATCAACTTAGTTCACAACACTTTTGGGAAACGCAGCCCTGGCCTGTTCCAGACCGTGGCCTCAAAGTGGACATGTGCAGTGTGCCGTGGATGGACGGATGGATGGGGGTGGAGCGCTGGAGCGTGAGACGGCAGAACAGATGGAGCATCTCTGTGATGGGGGGTAGGCCTCCAGGCGGGCATGACTTTAAATTAATGAAGGGTGCAGAACTTAATCAACATATAACACATATGATGCACGATGAATCTCATAGGGATATGAGAGAGAGGGGCGCCACTATGCTAACATGCAGACTTCTCCTCCACTCGCTCAGGTGTGCTGGGAAAATAACAAAGCCAATAAATCTAATCCGGCCACAGCACCTGCACAGTCCGCGTGTAATGATCTGTGGAATAGGCTGCAGTACACAGTCGGTATCACACACAGCTTATACACACACTACCGCTATCATATTCACACATTAATGAGGCCACTAATGGATTTTTACATGGTCTTGCAAACACATACATACAAGTCAATGTTGTACACAGAAAAACATACAGAAAATCAAGGGCGTATCAACTATTATAACTGGGGTGGACATGTCCCTCCCACTTCCAGCAATTTACACCCATTGTTGTTGAGTATTAAAGGGATAGTTCAACCAAAAATAAATATTCTGTCATGATGTACTTACCCTCATGTCATTCCAACCCTTTGGTTAACACAAATTGTAATATTTTTAAATGACACCTAAGAGGTTTCTGTCCCTCCATTGAAAGTCTCAGTAAATAAAACTAAAATACCCCCAAAAAGATCAAAAAAGGTCATAAAACTATAATCTATATGAATCAGATGGTTTAATCCAAGTCTTGTGAAGAGATACAATCACTTTATATGATGAACTGATTTATTTTAGGATTTCATTTACATCTAAATAATGATTGGCACAAATACATGCACATATTGTAAACACAGAAGTTTGTGTTTACAAATCTCATTGTTTCTTCTGTATCCCATATGAGATGTATGTGTGTTTGTGTGTTAAAAGCTAAAATCATATAAAGCAATCATATCTTTTCAGAAGACTTGGATTACATGGCAGGCTTCATACAGATTCTTTTTACAAGCCTTTATGAACGTTTTGGATTCTTTTAAGATCTAGTATTTCAATGGACAAACAGAAACCACAGGTTTAATTAAAAATATCTAAATTTGTGGTTTGACGATTAACCAAAGGCTATGGTTTGGAATGGCATGAGGGTGAGTAAACGATGACAGAATTAAAATTTTTGGATGAAAGTCATATAAAACGGCACCTCCGAGTAACTCTAACATGGCTAGTGCCAGCCCGCTTTTCAACAAATCAGTAGCTCAAACTTTAGAGCATGGCAATAGCATGGGTTTGATTCCCAGGGAAAACAAGAACTGACAAATTGTAAACATGTGCCTTGAATGCAGTGTAAGTTGCTTTGGATAAAAGTGTGTCTGCCAAATGCATTATATAATTAATATTCATGATCCTGCCTGATAAGGTTTGCAGTGCACCACATTACTGTTTTTTAAAAAACTATTTTGTGCAGAGCTCTGGTAAAAATGAAAGAAAGGTGATTATGTGGCAACAAAAGATCAATACTACATCATTTCCCAAGCACAGAGACCTTGTCATGAAGAAAACTGCTCAACGATGGAATTAAACAATGACTGCACAAAAGTCATTTAAAAGACATCTTTTTGAGTTTCTCACCAGGTCCAAGTCATGAAAGTGGAGATAGTACTTTCTGATTGCTCCTTTGTAACTCAGTGGCTCCTTCCTAGGATTACTTGCAGCATTTTCCACTTCCTCCTCCTCCTGTTCCTTATCTCCAGGCCTCTGACCGGGTTGAAACTGGACCATGTCAGTCCTGTACACTGACTATGTGGGTTGAGCAAAATAGTCAATGTTAATGAAAGGTTTCCCTATGTGGGAATTCAGATAAAGTGATAAAGAAACATACATATCTCCGTCGTCTGATAGTGTTGGGGTCGATGTCCATTTCAGGAAGCGAACTAAATAAACAATCTCCTCCATTGTCCACAACGGCAAAAGTATTTATCCAATCAGACATAGAAAGGCTCTGAAAAAAGTTGTGTCATTATTAAACCATATTGTCAGTACTAAATCATGTAGAGACGTTGTGAAATGTCTACATACCCAAATAGTGGCTTTTCTAGGACACACAAAGTAAGGCTTGATTCCGAGGTAACCTGAATCAAAATAGTGAACCCCATGTTGTCCAAACCTACACAGTGCAAAGGCAAATGATTATTTAATATAAATATAAATATGTTGCCTGACTTAAAACTTCAAAATATCATATAGACTAACGTGGCAAAGCAACACTCTTGAGCCATCAGGATGCCGCTCCAAAAGAGGGGCCAGTACACTTCAGTGGACAAGCAGCGCTTTACTGCCAAAAGAGGCACGTAGGTTTTTCTCACATCCCACATTTTTGCCATGCGGTCATCTCCGACTGTCACCAACAAGTTACTGCCAACAACAGCACACAACAATAGCAGATAAAAACATTATACACGGTTATTCACACTTTTTTCATACCTCAGCACAATTGCAGATAAATCAATATTTTTGAGATCATTCAAAAATAACATTCCCATAATTTTTGTGCAATTATGAAAATGGATGTCGTCTCCCTTGATGTTGTCTCTATGTGTTTTTAAACATTTAACACTGCTTTGAGCTGAGTTGTAGTTAAGTGCTTGCAACATGCAGAGATCAAACTAGCAAGCTTCTAGTCACCACTACGCCACACCATCCCCCCCCCCCCAAAAAAAGAAGGGACCAAGGCCGCCTGGAGAGGGACCAAGTCTGCTGTGAGCTAGTGTCCTGTCGTTAAAATTATTATATGATGCAATCTGGGAGGAAATCATGTCAATTCAGTGTCTGTACTTCTCCTCACATCTGGACAGTAAAAGGGCAGAAGAGACAGCTGATCCCCCTGCCAACACTCTTGCTTGAATGCTTGAAGTTTGCTGCATGCGTAGTTGCGTACAAACTGCAACCCTTCAGAGCAATGACACACAGAGACTGTTCTGCTTTTTCTGAGGTTGAGGTATATCTGAATTCTACATTTTGAGAGTCTAAAGAACAAGAACAAAATGTTCCAAACACAAGAAATCTCCACTTGATTTTACTAGCCCCCTGTGGTGAGTGGGATAGGGTGTCATTTTCCAAATGAACTTCTCTAATGCCACTTAAAAGAGTCTCTTATAAGGTCACAGTGCTTTAAATGTAAGTGCTAAGAGCAGGCTGCTGAAACTACTGATGCTGAAACAACACATGATTGGAATGGTAATGTATTTGATCTAGACTGCTTCTCTGTTACTAAATGAGAAAACTCCAAGGGTGTGCTGTATCATAGCATGAATATCATACAGATAATGTCATACATAAAGATTTAAATACACTACGAATACCAAATGAAATGAATGATACTGAACACTACAATCAAACATATCAGGCAAAATAATCTGCCAATGGGGTAAGAAAAATAATCTTGTTTTCTGTTTGAAATAAGTTTATTTTTCTTACCCCTTTGGCAGATTATTTTGCTTGTTTCAAGCAAAAACTACCTTAAATTCGACTTGTTTTTTCTGAAAACAAGACAATCATTTTTACTTCTCTATAAAATCCTTCTTGATTTAAGAATTTATAGAAATTTTGTCTGGAAGCATTTTTTGCAGTGAGGTGTTTGCATGAAATATTTTCACAGTTTATATTCAGTTAAGATCAAGAATCTCCTTTTTAAACAAATGCACACTTCTGTTTAAAAGTTCCAAATAACTACGATTTTTTTAATGTTTTTGAAATAGGTCTCGCATGCTCATCAGGGCTTCATGGTTTTTGCTAAAAACAGTAATATTGTGAAATATTATTATCAAAATCTGCTTTCTATTTGAATACATTTGAATATAGAATTTATTCCTGTGACAACAAAGCTGAGTTTTCAGCATTACTTCAATCACTCTAATATGCTGATTTGGTGCTGAAGAACATTTCTTCTTATCATTAAGGGTGAAAGCAGTTATTCTGCTCAGTATTTTTCTGAAAACTATGCTACTTTGTTCCAGATTTCTCTCATAAACAGAAAGTTCAAAGAAGATCATATATTTAACATTTTTTAGTTTTGAAATGTTGTTGTATGCATTTGTCATTTTTATTTAATTTATTTTATTTTCTTAAAAGCTTTTAGCCTTTAATAACTTTTTCTTATTTGTGTATGTGTGAATTGTTTTTAGCTTTATTTTTTTGTTTTCATTTAAATGTTTTAGTTTTGAAATGTTGTTGTATGCATTTGTCATTTTTATTTAATTTATTTTATTTTCTTAAAAGCTTTTAGCCTTTAATAACTTTTTCTTATTTGTGTATGTGTGAATTGTTTTTAGCTTTATTTTTTTGTTTACATTTAAATGTTTTAGTTTTGAAATGTTGTTGTATGCATTTGTCATTTTTATTTAATTTATTTTATTTTCTTAAATGTGTGTATATATATAGTATTTATAGAGTTTTAGCTTTCAGTTTTAATTACTTTTTCTTATTTGTAAGTCGCTTTGGATAAAAGCGTCTGCTAAATGACTAAAAGTAAAAAAAGTCAAAGTAAAATAGAAATCTTTAAACCCAATAAAAAAAATTGTAGTCTTGTCTAATCCGACACATGATGCTAGGACTGATGGTTCTCACCTTGAGGCTTTGCACCAGCACAAGGTCCGGATGTTTTCGTCATGAGCATGGAAACAGTGGTAAGGGTAGAGAGACACACCTCCGTCTGGAGACTTGACTTTCAGTAGTGTAGACTTACTAGCAAGATCCCATAAACCAACCAGACCTGGAAAAGAAAAAGTGCAGTGATTGCAATATGCATATAAACCAAGGTATTTACAATTAGCAATTCTGTTTAGAAGAACATAGAGGCCTATAGACAAAACATATGAAATCACCATCATAGAAGCCCGCAGCCAAGAGGTTATGTGGTTTGACATGGAGCCAATCCATAGCAAAGCACAGACCACTTTGACCTTTATGATCCGCCTGGTTGGAGCCCATCTTCAAAGTCAGAACCTTCTTCACCTGCAAAAACACATCACAATAAAACTCACTAGAATACGTCATCCATCTGTAAAGATAAAGAATTAGGCTATATTACAAAAAATAGTAATTGCATAAAGAGATGATATATTTATATAATCTTTCAATCTATATGCACTATTTATAGTATGTAATTAATATTAATAAATAATTAATAATAAAGGTTTTCATGATAATCACAATTTAACATTTGCTCAATAGTCAATAGCTATTATCCAAAAAAAGTCCTCCTCTCTGTGCTTCACATTTAGTTTGAGAGAGCCCCTTCTACCATGACAGCTAATTTCGAAAAGATCATCTCTCGGATGTGTGAAAATGTTACGTAGACAGCCCATAAAAGCCATACTGAGAACTTTTCAATCAATAAACAAACCAATAATCAATCTACAGTAAGAAAATGTTCAAATGAATGCACGTGTGCTGCATATAATACAGTAATTTGCATGAAATTAGAAGAAAATATAAATGAACAAAAACCTAAAGAAAAAATTAAACAGTAAGACAACAAAAAAGCAATAAAAAAAAAAACTAAATTAGACAACTAAACAATAAATAAATATTGAAAACAAACAAAAAGATAAAATAAAAGCAAAATAAAAGATAAAAATAAAAAAGGAAAGCAAACAATCAAAAAGCTAAAAAAACAAAAAATAAACAAAAATAAAAATGTTTCTTAACATTTATGTGCACAATAAATATTAACAAAATATTAATAAGTCTAAACAAAAACAATAAAAACTAAATAAAATGCAAAAAAAAACTACATAAGCAGAAAACTAATTACAGTTAAACAACGTAAAATAAAATAAAACAACAAAAACTAAAAAAGCAAGGCAAAACTAAATTAAAAGACAACTAAACAAAATATAAAAAAAATGAACAAAAAGATCAAATAAAAGCTAAATAAAAACAAAAGTAAAAAACAAAAAAAGTTAAAAACAATAAAAATAAACAAAAATAAAAACATTCCTTTACATTTACAGATATTAACAAAATAAATAAAAACCTAAACAAAAACGAAAAAAAAAAAAGACAATAAAAACAAAATAAAAAGCATTAAAAACAAAATAAATATACATAAAAAACGTCTCAGGTTACTTATGTAACCATTGTTCGAAGACACTGCGTCCTCTAGGGGTCGCTATGGGGAAACCTAGAGGACGCAGTTCGAATTCCCACGAAAAGGAACGTCTCAGGTTACTTATGTAACCATGGTTCCCCTGAGTAGGGACCGAGACACTTCGTCCTCTAGGGGTCGCTATGGGGAAACCTAGAGGACGCAGTTCGAAGTTCCCATGAAAGGGAATGTCTCAGGTTACTTATGTAACCATGGTTCCCCTGAGTAGGGAACGAGACACTGCGTCCGCTTATTACACCTTATTTAAATATTACGTTATTACATTTTATTGAAATTATTATTATTATTTCATTTAACTATATGTTCAAATAATATTATATTTAAATGACTTCCATTTAAAGTATTTTCAATTACCTGTTGCATTTATGCTGCTTTTTTGATAATTTTTCAGTAATAGAAAGTTGAAAGGAACAGCATTTATTTGAAATAGAAAGGTTTTCTGGCATTATGTCTTTTATGTTACTCTCAGTAAATTTAATGCTGAATAAAAGTATTATCTTTTTTTTTTTAAAAAGGTAAAAAAATTAAAACTTACGGTACCTTAAACATTTAAATGGATATTTATTATAATTATTATATATAAAAATACAATTATTTGTGTTTTTTTTTTACAAATTTTATAACGCTTTTCAAATATTCAATTTTATTAAAAAATGTATTTACTTTTATATTAATATGAATTAGTATGACTATAACATTATTAACAAACCAAGAACATTGCAACCACAATTTTGCATTACTGTATCTTAAAATAACGTATTATATTGTAAAGCATGATATATTGTAAAATTATTTTACCGCAGGTACTAGGTGCTGTTTAAATTGTACAAATTAGGTTTCAGTGGTATAATGTAAAAAGTTAATGGTTTGCTTCTTACCGGGTTCAAACCTGCAACCTTTCAATTTGCAGCTTTGATCTTTAACCAGTAGACTACATCATTCAATATAAATATATTATCTGCTGTTGAGATATGATGGATTGATAAGCTCTATGCTCAATCAATTAAATTATGATGTGCATTCATCATGTTAACCCAAGGCTGGCATCTGGATACAGTCAGTAAACACAGTAGTAACAGATCAGTGCTAGAGGGAGAATGCTACACACACAGACACTAGTCTGTTTCTCTCTCTTACTGTCATCATTCGTGATTGTCAGAAGGCTCTTTAGAGTTCAGTCAAGCCTGTGGTATCTGTAGAAAAGCTATCCGTTAGCATTCCCATTTAATGTATGTATTCTGAATTCTGCAACATCTAAAGCAGCATAATATAATAAAATGATTGCTATTTTCATGCTTCTTGCAAAGAATTTAATTTAGTCAGAACACGCTGATTTGTTTGAATGGTCATTGGAAAAATACGCCTTTTGCTTGCAGAACGGTCAATAGCTCATAAAGCAGACTCAGCTAGGAGGAGAGATCAGTATAACTGTAGATAAGCAGCATTTCACTGCTGTGAAAAGGGCGGCCGCTAATCAAAGGCTGAAGGCAGTGAAACTCAAATAGGCACTAGTCCCTCCCTACTTTTCTTTTCTAGCTCGCTCACTGTGACCGTGATGAATGAGAAGTCCTGGGAGGATAATCTTTTGCAAACACACACACACACACACACACACAGTACAGATAATATGTGTTTAAGAGAATTAAAGAAAAGAGGAAAACAGGGAATGATGCGGCGGATGGCAGGTCATCAGTCTGTTCCCAGCACTCCCTGAGGAGAGGCCATTATGAGCTCCCATGGGACAATCAGCCTACGCTGGCCATTTTATCAGAGCATGAGGCCTTGAGATGTGCAATGAAATAAATTAAAATCTCCACATCCACATCTATGTGCCTGAATAGCTTAAAAAAATGTTTTGTTTGAAATCTTGTTGTAACATACTAAAGCTTGACTAATATTGTACAGGTAAGTAGATTTAAAGGGTGGAATATTAATAACAATAATAATAATGATAATTGTTCTTGCTGTTATAATGATTTGATTTTATTGATTCATTTATTCATTCATTAATAATAATAATAATAATAGGTACTATTATTATTACTTTATATAATAATAGTAATAATACTAATAATAATAATAACAACTATTATATAAATTATTATTATATAATTAAATTTTTAACTATTATTACATAAATAACTATTGTTATATAATAATTGTTATAATAATATTGACTATTATTATCATTGAATTAATAGATTAAATCAATTAAATCAAATCATTTTAAGTTAGAACAATTATCATTTATTCATTCAATAGTAATAATAATTATAATATGTATTATTTATATAATAATAATTATTGTTATTAAGTAATTAATATAATATTACTTATTAATTTAATTAATAATTATATAATAATAAATATTTATATAACATAAATAATAATAGTTATTGTATTACTAATACTTTTTTGTACTAATCATTACATATTACTAATCATTATTTGTAATTCTTCTTCTTCTTATTATTATTAAATGAATGAATTTTAATTATTGCTCGTTATAATCATTTGATTTGACCAGTTCATCTTTTCATTCAATAATAAAAATAATAATTATTATTATTACTATTATTATTTTTTTAAATGTTAAACAATTATGAATAATTATTTTTATAATACTAAATCAATAAATAAACAAATAAATAAATAATGCAGTTAATCAATCTTCTGAACAATTTCAGGAAATTCAGTGTGTTCTATGTTTTTCAATATTTGTGAAAATTAAGCAAAGACATCATACAAGCTAGATTAGCGTTTGTTTAGTGGTAATGGGAAAAATGCATTACAGCACTTGGCTTGCGGCTCTTCTGTCTTGTGCTGCCCTCTTCTGGAAGGGCCAACACATTGCACATGAATTCACTGGGAGTTTCTAAACTAGGAGTGACTAAATTCCAGCAGAGCAGGCATCTCCAACCCTGCTCCTGCAGAGCTACCAATCCACAGACTTCAGGTCCAACCCTGCTCCGACACACTGCTTGTAATTATTAAGTAACCCTGAACATCTTGATTAGCGGGTTTAGGTGTGTTTGGGATTGAAGCTAAACTCTACAGGAAGGTGGCTTTCCAGGAGCAAGATTGGACATCTCTGTTCTAAAAAACAGCCTCATGTGTCAAAGAGACAGAGAGAGTGAAAATAGTTATGAAAAACTAAACTTTGACTGTCTTTGGAACAACCATTTCAAGTGGACCTGATTGCAAAAATAAAAAAATATAAATAAACAAAAACCCAATATATATATATATATATATATATAAAACCCCACTAAAGAAATAAGAAGCACAGGTTATGCAGTTGACCATTTCCTCACCTTTACTCTGATGGTGTGCTGCAAGGGCTTCTGGGTGTGGAAGACTGTAGACACCAATGGTTCCATTAGAGAAAGCTGCTGCTAGAACACCTAATCTAGGCATTTGTGGAGCCTGAGAAAAACAAGAAATACATTTACACCAATGTACACTACTTAAAAACATTTGTACAGTTGTTTAATACAAAATCCTTATGAATATTCTTAGACTTTTTCCTCTGTCATTTCTAACCTTTCTGCCGGTAGAGGGCAGCTCCCACACTCCCGCAGGACACCACCTTATATTCCAGATGCATCCATCATCTATCGCTAAACCATATGCTAGATGAGGAGCAGTTGAGGGTCTGAAGTGGAGGGATAAAGTAAAAAAATTACCAATTTATTGTAAAACCCAACATTTCCTTTTAAAGCCGATCTGTAAGTGTCTTATCTGGGTCACCTGCTTTTGCACTGAAGGTCTCCGATGTCCCACAGCTGCAGCAAGACAGGACCTGTGTGCAGCTTATTGATTTTGTGTTCATCATCCATGCCTTTGTGGCAGTAGATGGCGACATACTGTCTTTTTGCCGCCCCGTCAGGACACGGGCACCACTCCAAGGACCGAACAGGACCCCCCACAAAGAACAGAGCATCCCAGCGCTCAGAATGATGTGGCAATGATTCAAACCTGCAGATTAGCGCACACCATTACATACGAGTAAACATACACTACTGTTCAAAAGTTTGGGGTCAGTACTTTTTTATTTTTTATTATGCATTATTCAGATTTCCATTTAAAATAAATGCTCTTTTAAACTTTCCATTCATCTAAGAATCTTGACAAAAAAACGTATCAGCTTCCACAAAAATATTATGCAGTGCAATTGTTTTTAACACGGATAATAATAATAAGAAGAAAAGTTTCTTGAGCAACAAATCAGCATATTAGAATGATTTCTGAAGGATCATGTGACACGGAAGACTGGAGTAAATCACATTTAACATTTTAAAATATATTTATAATATTTAATATACTATAATATTATAATACTAAAATATTATAATCAATTACTGTTTTTAATGTATTTTTTATCAAATAAATGCAGCCCTGGTGAGCATAAAAAACTTCTTTTAAAAACATTTAAAAAATCTTGCTAACCCCAAATTTTTGAATAGTAATGCACTTTGCAATTTCCTTAAAAAAAAAAAATAAAAAATGGAAAAGTCGTTAATCTACTAGCTGAGTTTTTCCCAAACTGAGGTATGAACCGCATATTATTGTTATTTATTATTATTAATTTTACAGTTATTTTAAAGTAAAAATAATAAAAATAAAAATATATATTTATAAATATTTGTTTGTTGAAATAGTGAACTGCAGGGAACCATGAATTGTATTATTAAACATGCAAATGTGTTGTTAAATTATTCCAATATTAACTCTCAGTGAGTACTTCAAGTAAATATTTTTGGTCAATAGGGTTCTAACAAAGAAAAATTTGTGAATCCCTGTACTAGCTGAAATTAATTGTAATACATATCATATATTAATAACTGCAACAATCACACTGTGTAACAACCATTTGTACAGAAGAGACAACGACAGCGATTGTCAGTGTCATTCAATCCAGTGTGAACGGGATTCAGCTTAGTGGAAATGTATATGTTAAACTAATGATATCTTACCTCTTCACCGTTTGCAGTTTGATCTGTCCTTTGATGCTTTCCCGTGTAAAGGTAAAAGAAGCCGATTCTTTCTCTTGGGGTAAATATTTTTCAGCCTCACTGTTAATTGAAACAAAATGACTGTTAAAATGAAGATTTCTTGGATTCTATTAACATTATGTGGTATTTAGCTACACTAATACCTCTTAGACAGGAAATGCCAAACATGCAATTTCATGTATTGTTGGCAGAAAGAAATATGTGAATTTGTGTCCAAAAAAAATTAAGGAACAAAGACCTCAACAGACAAATCCATTTCATGGATTTTAATTCAAATCAAGACAACAGCTTTTAAATGCATTTGAACAAACTCATTTTCTCTCCCTGACATCCAGGAAGAATTATTCTAAAGCACTATGTATCTTCATACTAACGGCCAATTTAGCTGTTACAGAGCATCATTTCTGTGGTGTCAGAATCACACTTAATAATATGCCAGAAAAAAAAAACAGCAGCATTCATGAACATTGTTGCATGCAACTGCTTTAATAAAGTCGGTCACTGGTTCACTGTGAAACTTAGAGGTACAGAGCATGAGACAAAGCTTACAGAAAAATAAACATAATGCTCTACTACATTCAGTACACATGGCTTATACTTTATTCCTAAAATGAAACAAAAATAATAACGTCAAATTGTCATATTACTTTCAAAGACATTTTGAAATATTTGCACGTGGCCTTTCAATATACAAAGTTCCTCTTGTCAATAAAAGGAAGCACAATTCAGCAAATCCTACTAATAAAAATATTATTCAACAAGGATGCATTCAATTTCTCAAAAGTAAAGGCATAATGTTAGCAATTATATTTTAAATTAAATGCTGTTCTTTTGAACTTGTTTATATTCATCAAATCATGAAAAGTATAATGGTTTCTACCAAAATATTAAGCAGCACTGTTTTTAATGTTGATTTCTTGAGCACCAAATCAGCATATTAGAATGATTTCTGAAGGATCATGTGACACTAAAGACTGGAGTAATGGCTGATGGAAATTCAGCTTTGCCATCACAGGAATAAATTACATTTTAAAATATATCAAAATAGAAATGAGTTATTTTAAATTGTAATGATCTTTCACAATTTGACAGTTTTGCCTGTATTTTTGATCAAATAAATGCAGCCTTGGTGAGCATTAGAGACATCTTTCAAATCTTACAGACCCTAAACCTTTGAATGGATGTGTATCTCTTTAATCTTTATTCTAAACACTGGAAAAACTCCATATTTGGAAAAGGAATGGTTTATGAATCACTTTCAGGTTGCTGGCTGGACACAGGCTTCGTGAGGGGCCTGCTGAGGGCCCATTTGTCATGTCTGTGTGCCGCTGGGTCCTCGGCCTCTGACTCGCTGCTGGAGCTCTCACTACTGCTGCTACTGCTGGGACTGTCACTGCCGCTGAACTCATAGCAGTCTTTCTCCTGCCTGCTTTCCTTCTCTTTCTGTTTGTTTTGCTCCTCCTTCCTCTTTATTTCCACTCTTCCAGGGGTTTCCACTCCACTTGACATGGGCACCGCTGACATCTGTCTATCCTGCCAGGAGCTGGGAAAACTGAGGTTTGGGTTTGGTAAGGGAAGGTCTGGACTCTTCATGGAATCTTCCTTTGGCTCAGTCTTGTGCAGTTTATCTAACTTTGAACTCTTAGATTTGGACCGAATAACGAACCAATCCTATGAAAAATAATAACAATGAGAATACTTATTATAAAAAGATACATTTTTATGATATATAAAGAGCAGAAAATGAAATAAAATAAACATTTAATTTGTTACCTGAGAATGAATGGAATTAATATGATACTTGACTCCACTTTCGGAGTTGAATTCTTTCTTACATATCAAGCATTTATATTTCCCAGTCTCAAATTCACCCTGCAGAGAAAAAAAGAGCAGGTTTTCATAACTTTTCATTAAACAAGAAAAATCAATAGAAACCTACTGATTTAGGTACCAATAACAAAGCAATAGTTATTTAGTTATACTGTACAGATGACTATCTTTTCTGGTCAAACTACACTACACCATTCAAAAGTTTGGGGTCAGTACGATTTTCTGAAAGACATTAATGTCTGCAAGGATGCATTAAACTGATCAAAAGTGACAGTTAAGACATTCGTAAACCTTACAAAAGGTTTCTATTTCAAATTTATAGTACTCTTTTGACATTTAAATTTATTAAGGAAAAATATAAATATAAAAAAGGTTTCTTGAGCACCAAATCAGCATATTAGAATGATTTCCAAAGGATTGTGTGACACTGAAGACTAGAGTAATGGCTGCTAAAAATTCAGCTTTGCCATGACTGGAATAAAATACTATTTAAAATGTATTTAAAAAGAAAACAGTTATTTTAAATTGTAGTAATATTTCACACTATTACTGTTTTTACTGTATTTTGTGTGTTACATGTCTGAAAGGAAATGTATTCCTTACCAAGGTACATAGCCCAAGATGAGCCTTTAGGCCAGATACGCTGGTATAGAAGCAGTTACATCCCTAATTTGACAACAAAGATGATCATTACACATTTAGTTTAGTAAACCATTCATTCACTGAAAATCCTTGCTTTTGCATAATGTCACAATCAGTGCAAAACATGCACAAAACACTAATGAATGGCCCTTTAAATTCAAACACAATGCTAAAAACGCCTGGAATAATAACTGTTTATGCATGATATTCACACCTTGTTTGGACACTGCACTTTTTTATGCAGTTTGACTTCATTATTCCACTTCCGTAGCGTCTCCTGACTGAAGGCCGGCAAACCTGGACGAGAATACTTCAGCTACATAGACACAAAAATACCATAAATGCTTATAAAAATGAACACAAGATTGATTCTTCATTCACAGTTCTCAAACCTTTTAGTGAATCCATGAAAGTGTGTAAAACAAACAAAGCTGATGCTGCCTTACCAAAAAGAGCTTCACACAGGTTCTGACTTCTTCACAGCCCTGCAATTACAACATGTTGGCATAGCTTGACATATACATGTTTTGCAGCACCTTCTTGTCGTCTGGTACCAGGTCACGCTGCACTTTCCTTTTGGGCCATTCCTTCAGCAGCTCCTCACTGGCGATCTCCCTCAGGTGGAACACGGCCACCTGCGCTGACAAGCGCTTGGCCCGACCGCTCTGCGTCCGCTCTGGGATAGGCTCTTTCTGTGTCTTCAGCTCCTCTACTTCACTTTCTTGGGTCGTCTGCAACAACAGATAATTGTGTGTAATTGTGATTTCATTGAATAAACACAAGCACTATGATTTCATTGAATAAACACAAGCGCTGCACATTCAAAATCAGGCGCTGCTTTGTGTTCTGCCGTTACCGGGGAAACAGTGATATTTCTACCAAACGCTCCACCTGCTGGCAGAGAATGAATGAGCATTTTCAATAAAACTGTTGTTTTGTTCAGAGTTCAGACCAATGCGAAAATCGACCCATGCAAACACACAGAGCTTTAAATGTGAACTGGTGGATCGATAAGAAGACAATGCATTATAAAAATCTAAACATAGGGGTGTGGCGATATTATATGGTCTGCGATAATATCGTAATTGTTGTTTTAACAATGTGCGATTTGATATTATGAGTATATCGCGAAAAGCAAACACAAAGCACACCTACAGAGTGCGCGCATACATTAGGTGATGAAGTCTAGTAGGTTAGATTGGTGCACGTGCTCATTTATAGTGCGTTCTTTCACTGCATGAATCAGTCTATTAAAATGCATTTAAAATTATCACATAATTTAAGATATGGGGCAGAAAATTTACATATTTAAATCATTTGATATAGTTAATATCACACAAAGAGTGCCGTTTTTTTCTCCAAAAGTAAGCATGATTACAAATGTGATATAGATTTTATACTACAGTTCAATAAACAAGTAGTTAATATTAAGAGACTTACGTTTTAGACACCATATTTCCTGTTTTTGCTCTATTTCTCCAACAAAAATAATTTCAAACACAGCACCAGCGCTGTTTTAGTGTCTCTGAGCAACATGAAGGTTTTTTCGTTCCTGAATGAATCAACCGTGTAAATGATTCGGTTCAATCGCAATGACTCACTTAACAGTGATTTGCTGCCACCTACTGGCGGTTTTAATTTCACATTTAAGGTACCTTTTCATTTTTTAATCAGTTTTCAATGTTTTATGTTTAAAATATCAAAACATTATTTATGGATTTGTAACTGCAGGTTAGAGTATTTAATGTCCCTCAGAGCTGCATTAAACAGTGTGTAAATGCATCTAAATGACACTTCTTACGCAGCTTCTGTGTTTCCTCTGCATTGCAAAGATCAATTTTGTTGATACTGATTTAATTTGTTGGTAACAACCCAAATGCAAGAATTTGACTCAAAAGATGGTGCACACTTTTAGAAAAAATGGCTAAAAGGTAAAAATTCCCATAAAACTGGTTGGAAATTATAAATTTCTATCACTGCTGTGAACTGACCACACAGAATATACAAAAATTCAGGAGTCAGCTGTCCACGGTAGATATCAGCACAATAACACACTCAGCCAAATATAGTCTAATTATCGTTATCGATAAAATCCCAGAAAATTATCGAGATATAATTTTTTGTCAGTATCGCACACCCCTAATTTGTTATTTAATTGATATAATAATTTATTGATAATAATTGTTTAAATTAATTAATATAATAATACTTTTGACTCATCCATTGTCTTAACAATGGTTTAGGCTGAAATGTAAAGTTTATCATTTTATAAAACTTTGTTTTTGTGAAAACCTGTATCTGAACTGTAAATTAAGCTTTTTACAGTAATTTTACTGTTTAATATGGTACTATAGACATTGCCCTACCCCGCTCATATGGTATTAATTTTATTTGTGCAGGTCTTAAAAAGGTCTTAAATTTGAGCTTAAAAATCCTGCAGAAATCCTGGAATAAGAATCTGTTACATCAGAACAGACATTTAGGCAAATGCTTATTGAATAATGAAGAGGAGGACTCACCGGACTGTGTTCGTTCTTGACATGGTACTCCAGGCCCGCTCTGGAACGATACGCTTTTCCGCAGTGTTTGCAGTTCAATAAGAGCTTCTCCAGCTCTGACGCCTCTTTGCCGCATTTCTTCATGTGGTACACATAACCCATTATACTAGTGAAACTTCCAGTACAACCCTAAAACACACCATTCAGCATCTTTTAAGGTCATTCTAAACATCCACAATGCTATACAGTCATTGTTTAAAATGTTACTATTATTATTTATTTATTATTTTATCTACCTTTTAATATTTTTCACTTTTACACTACTGTTCAAAAGTTTGGGGTCTATATGATTTTTAAAATATTTTTGCAAGAAGTCTCTAATGCTTACCAGGTCTGCTTTTATTTGACCAAAATACAGTAAAAGCAGTAATATTGTGAAATATTACAATTTGAAATAACTCATGATACTTCAGAAATCATTAATTTCTTCTTATTATAATTGTTGAAAACAGTTCTGCTGCTTAGTGTTTTTGTGGAAACCCGTGATACAAGTTCTTCAGGATTATTTCATTATATTTCATATCATATAATAAGATTTCATATTTATATGAAATATAATATTTCATATTTATGTCAGGATTGTGAAATATTATTACAGTTTAAAATAACTCACATGATCCTTCAAGAATTAATTTTAATATGCTGACTTGGTGCTCAAGAAACATTTCTTATTTTAATAAATGTTGAAAAGAGTACTGCTTAATATTTTTGTGGAAACTGTGATAAAAAAAATTTCAGGATTATTTCATGCATCTTTGCTGAATAAAAGTATTAATTTCTTTTTAGAAAACCTAACTGACCCCAAACGTTTGAATGGTAGTGTTTTTATTTTAATTTTCTTGTTTAGTACTAATATTTTTTGCATTTTTTATATGCTGACCTCCAAAGCCTTTTAAGCTGCATTTAATTCTATACAGATAAATGACCACACCTCTTTTGAACATTTTAATTTGCCCATCCTTTTTAATACTTTCCGTAATTTCTCCTTTACTGCTTGGTCAACTAGGTCATTCCCTGTATCTGGAATGGGCTGAAAAAACAAACAAAGAAAATTATTTTTGTGTCAATACCATCATTTTCACTGTCAATTTCACTACCAGTTTAGAAAAAGAAATAAAACCTAACCAAGCTGTTATGGTCAGCCATGAGGTGGTACTTCATTCCTGTTGAAGTTTTCAGTTGTTTTTCACAGTGTGGACATGTAAAAGGATTCTACACAAAGAACAAAAACAGGTGTAGAATTCAGACAAGTACTAAAAAAAAAATCTGCTATATCTCTATGATATTTTCACAAACTTTGCTATATGAATGTACCAGCTTGCAGGTTTCCAGGTGCTTCTTTAACCCATCCACTGTCTTCCTTCCAACACTTTTGCATTTTGGGCAGCTTACTCTACCCTTTGCCAAAATCTGAAGCTGCCATTTTTCCTCCTGACTTCCTGTAAAGAACCACAAAATATATATTATGAATACTTAAAAAATATGTCTGTGCTGTTTTAGCCACTGTCTCATTTACCTGGCGGATAAACAGGTGACTCCTTCTTGGTGTGCTGAGATGATTTCTGCTCTTGTGTGCTGTCAGTTATCTGATTCTTCTGAGTGAACTGAGCAACGGGAACTATAACGGGTACTGTTAAACGAAAAAGATGTAGTCTGCACTATTCATGTTGTATCATGAATTATAGAAGAAAAACTGAAGAACTGCATACCGGATTGCTTTACTTCCTCCATGTACTTTTTTAAGGAGGGCTGGTCAGTTTCCTCAATCTTGTGCTTCTTCTTTAGCTTAGAATCTGTAGCATAAAAACATTATTTAAAATGTCATATATCAATTTATTCTATTTATATATAAGTCTGTACTTACTTGTCTCTATTAATGTGTCTGAACTGGATCCATCAGTTTTTCCCATCATTTCGCTGGTGTGGTCAGTGTTCATATATTGGCTTTCCGAACCACTGACCAGACTGGATGTAATAACTGAACTGCAAGATGACCCATGGTCTGAATCTTCTGTAGGTCTCATAACCACAGGCTGGAGATCATGGTACCTTAAGACATGACATTTTGACACCATAATTAATTCAGTATATGGTGCAATACATTACTACTGAAGGGGCAAACATTTTTCAAATGATTCTAAATATGAGATCAGACTAAGTGATTAAAATTTGTTAAACGCAGTTAACATTTGGTAACCGAAAAATGTTGGCACACATTGTTTGTTGGCAAAACTCACTTTTTTCTGGTGTAAGTTCTCTTTATTTTCTGAGAGCTTGCCCTCTCATTCTAAAATTCAGTAACAAAAATGCAGTAACAATATTAGTTTTGAAAGTCTCGTGTTTAATTTGATTAATTACCTAAATATATTCTATATATACACTGACACATTGATGCATAACTCATAGTGAGGATGCTTGGACTTACTTTGGATGGTTTCATTCCACTATTTTCAGCCTCTCTTCCCAAATCTTTCATGACATCTGTTGAGGACGCAATCAACTCTTTAGAATAATATAATAGATAGATTTAATCAATTTAACCACTCAGAAATTACATATTTAATAGATCATAATGTAAATGTAATTAATTTCAGACCACATGTGATCATGATCCGGGAGTGCAACCACATCACAATAAGCCATATAGGGTTTACAAAGTTTAGAATTTAATAAATCTTACATTAATACAGAATTACCTGGTGTTTGGGGGTTTAGTTTTGGTTTTGACATTTTCCTCTTGCTGGGTACACATGTGGCAGACATGTTATCCTGGGTCTGATCCATGATCCTATTGCACACAAATCAGTGCTGCATACAGAGAAGCATGGATAGGGATCCACTGCTATCTATATTATATCATAATCAAAAACAAATAAATAACTGTCACATATAGGTAATCTGCTTTGTGGAATTTCGTTTTTTCATTAATTCAGTGTCCCTCAAGCAGATATCGGTTGCACTAAGGCACTGAAAAATAAAACTAAGCCTGCATTTGCACACAGAAGCTGCAAGCAGCATTACATTCTTCTTTATTGCAGTGCATAAGTGTAGTCTTCAAGACTGCCACCATCACTGCCCACCAATATTCCCAGCCAAAAAAAAAGGCATGACGGCACTACGTCAAATAAACCCTCTGCGGATGCACGCAACCGTCATACAATCCGTATTACATCGATACACTGAATACACTTTAATTTTGGAAAGGCATATTCAACACTCAATGTTAACAAAACAGTCGAGTAGCTATAACATTACCGTCCTCTCGGCGAGATCGCTTCATACATACGCCCCTTTTCTCCACCAGCCAATGAGAAAGCGCTCTTCCCATAACACAGCAAAAGGGGCGGGTCTTCACGCTAAAACAACCTATCACTGGAGACTGCAGGTCCTAGATCAGATCTTGACACGCCTCTGTTTTTACTTCTTGCTGCGGTTGAGCCGCCGCGACTGAACCGGAGTCAGTGTGTATACAGAATTGAACCAATTTAGTTTGAGCAACATCAACTTTCGGTTTCAATACAGCAGAAATGAGCAACGCAGGGTCTTCTTGGTTTTCCAGTGGATTAGCGTTGATTACTTCAAACACATGGAGGCCCACAAAGGAAGAGGTACAATTAGCAAACATGTAACATCTTTTCTTTACAAACTAATATTAATATTACAAAATACACTATTGTTGCTAGTAGCAACTTGCTACAGATGTTAAGGTATGTGTGCTGGCAAGGAAGTCTTTATAAAAGGGTGCTTGTGTCAGGGTTAAAATTTAACTACTATCTCTTTTTCTACATTTTTCATAAAGGGTAGAGCTCTTCGACAACACATCCATGAAATCTCTCAGTCTTCTGTCCTAGATGGTATGTATGTCACCTGATAATGTTTCTAATGCCATTTATTTAATACACCCCCAAGACAAATGTAAAAAATAAATGTATAAAACTAAGCTCTTGCAGTGTGACATGCTCCATTATGTCCACCTGTTTCTAGAGGCAGGCATTGATGATCCTCAAATCCTTACTTTGACAAGAGAGGATCTGAGTGAGCTTTTTCCTGGTATTAGGAACTTTCAGCTCAGAAGGACAATTATGACACTCATCACAGACACAGTGAAGGTAATGTCTTTCTTTGGTCAGTATGCTGGTGGAATTGAACTTCACTGGCCCTCCAAAAATATTCGCACGCTCAAATCACTCCTAAAAGAATAGGAGATTCATGGTTTTAGACAACAAAATATCAAACTTAGTGGCTTTTTTTTTTTAAACAACCAATAAGTACCAAATGCTATTTTGGATGCATGTTTGAGGCCATTTGCTCCAAACTGAAGTTCACACGGGTGTAGTTCATCACTTTAACGATGAACGGGTTCCACTAACATTTGACAACCAGCAGGTGTGCAAATATTTATTATTAATATACTTTAATATAATATTAATTGAGACTTTTTGGGGTCATTTTATTTAATACTAAAACGTCATGTTACAGAAACCAAATACAATGTAAATTGTGTGCATATGTACATGCTCCATATATTTTTTGTGAGTACTCATCTGTAATTATTTGATTCCTGAAAGGATTCACCTCAACATGGCCCAGAAACATTGGCCGGTGCACTGAAGCATTTAATGCACAAAAACAAAAACAGTGAGTTACGTATGACCTACAAATCTACCATTTTCAGTTGTAGCAGAGAACCAGTGGAGTTCTCTTTGTTAAAGAGATGTTTCATAGCGGCCTTATGACTTTTTCTTAGATGATGCTGCTGTACAGGATGTTTTGAAGGAGTCCCTTCGAGCGTTTAGACAAATCGAGGATCAGCTCAAAGCAGCACAGGCATCGTTGAAACCATACATTGAGGTCTTGAACAGTCTCACTGAGCCATCTGCTAGAAAAGAGGACTGGGATAAAGAGGGAACGTCAAGCAGGAGAACATTTCCAAGAGCATTCCCAACAGATATGAACTCTCCAACCATGCAGACTCACTCTTTTGGTGAGCAGAAGTAAAAATTCTGATTTCTCCTAAGAGTACATGCCCTTTCATTCAAGTGCTCAAAACCACATTTTTGCAAACTTAGCTTTGCAAGTAAGAGATTATAAATATTTACTTTGCATTATTAAAATATACAGCGAGTTTCTGAAGTCTGAGAGCACTAGTGCAAATGCTTCCATTTTGCGTTTTTTTATAATATATATACATATATATTTCTTACCCACCCTCCTAATATATTTCTCTTTTACAGAGCCTTCAGTCAGAGTGCATCCATTTGTTTGTGGTCAAACCTTGGGAACGCACATGCAAATTCTTTCCCAGCTCAAGGGAGTTAAAGAGAGTGATTTATGGGACTGTCAGTTGATACTGGCCTTCAGTCCTGTGGCATCACGAGCTGGAACTGACACCGAAGAAGCATTGAAGAAAATTCCAGGTAATTACTTATTAGAACAATGCTTAACTAGTTTTCATATTATATCTGAATATTGTATTTGAGAGAAATGTAGCCAGTTTAATAAAGGTTTCCTATAATGGTTATAGGACTAGTCTGCAAATGGCAATTTCATAGGTTCAGTCCTTTTTGCACCAAATTGCACATCTTGGAATTTTTTATAATATATATACATATATATTTCATACCCACCCTCCTAATATATTTCTCTTTTACAGAGCCTTCAGTCAGAGTGCATCCATTTGTTTGTGGTCAAACCTTGGGAACGCACACGCAAATTCTTTCCCAGCTCAAGGGAGTTAAAGAGAGTGATTTATGGGACTGTCAGTTGATACTGGCCTTCAGTCCTGTGGCATCACGAGCTGGAACTGACACCGAAGAAGCATTGAAGAAAATTCCAGGTAATTACTTATTAGAACAATGCTTAACTAGTTTTCATATTATATCTGAATATTGTATTTGAGAGAAATGTAGCCAGTTTAATAAAGGTTTCCTATAATGGTTATAGGACTAGTCTGCAAATGGCAATTTCATAGGTTCAGTCCTTTTTGCACCAAATTGCACATCTTGGACAATTTAAGTCTAAATTCTAATGTTAAATTATTCTTAATTTTTTTTATCTGTCTTTACAGCTGATAAACCAGCAGTACTGGTGACAATGCACCATACCTTCAACCCTACCTACATGTGTCCCAGCTTAAATATAGCATCTTCCCAAGTGAACATTGTGGAACGTGTTAATGTGCTCTTCCATGACTCACAGCACGGTCTTCTTAGGTGTCCAGCAAATGAAAATGCAATGGCCAAACTTCAATCTGTCTTAAACCGGTACATGTAAATGCTCTTGCTTCAAATGCTTTAACTGTTAAATCGGTGAAAATGACAATTCTATGTATTTATGTTGTATGGACATGAGAGTAGACATAAACAACAAGCCTGCTGTGTTGATTCCAAAAATTTAATATTCTCAGACAATTTTATCACAATTTTTTAGTAAGAAAGCCAATAGCAGGAACATTAGAAAAACGCCATTTCCATCAATGCTCTGATATCAAACCATAATGCTTTCAAGTTCTTACCTTCATGTAGGCACGTTTAAATTCATGTACATCTCACACATCAGAGAAGTGATACCTCATCCCATCATTATTAATATCCTAGCTTTTTAAAATGCATTATGACAAAGTAGTTGTGGTGGTTTTAACAGGCTAAAACAAGCAAGCTTGTAGCCAACCTACACACTGATAACAAATATGTGACTGTAGCATCAAAACCTGCCCTGACTTCCGATCTTTTCATTCAGGGACTTCCCTTTTTCATACTTTGACCAATATTGTGCGTAATATTCACAAATCACAAACCAAAGAAAAATACACATTGTAATGCTTTCTCAAACAATAAACAAAGAGTTAATATACTGATTTAGGGAGACGGTCCTCACAAATGTAGTCCAGCAACCTGGAAAAAACTGGCTTGGTTATGAAACGTTCTACAGCCAATCACCACACCTGATGAGTAACCAATAGGAGTTTCCGTAGGCACATAGATACATCCGTTTGAATAGCAATCTTTGCACCACACGACCATGAATAAATCATGGATATTATTTCCCATTAAAACACTCAAAAGGAAAAACAAAAGCCAAAAACAAACATGTATGATGGTACGGCTGGGTCAGTCGAGACAAAAGTGCCATTTGTTTACATTCGAGTGATTGGCCAGAGCATTTTGTGCTTATCCGTGTTTCTCCTGTTTGACAAGCACTATCTGTCACTGGCTTGGTCCGTTTTTCTTGTTGCTCCAGTAATTGCTGTAGGCCTTGTCAAACATATTTTTGCAACTTAGCTTAGCATTCAGGCGGGAGCAGATGAGGAAGGAGCCGCCCATTTTGCGGTGCAGGGAGTAGGTTTCTTCTGGTGGAGGGATGAGGCGCTGTTTCAGCATGACGGGGATGAGGTTGTGGATGCGCTCTGTGGTGCTCTGCGCCCCGAAATGAAATGGCTCCTTGGAGGCAAAAGCCTCACCCAGGATCATCACAGCGTCCACATGGGCATTTTCCATGGCCTGGATGAGGAGAAGAGGTTGTGTTAACATCCCTTATTTGTCATATGTGCAGCTTAAAACAAAAATATCTGGTATATTACTACCTTTGACTCATAACCAGTCAAGAACTTCATGTCTATGGATCGCTTCAGCACTTCTTCTCGATTACCATCTGCTGCAGCCTTGATGATCTGTTTTAAAGAGGACGACGCAATCAGTTAAAGAAATAAAATATTAATTTAACTAAAGTTAACTTTCAATTTTATATGTCTTACCTCAATATAAACATCAGTGAAACTCTCATCAAACCCTCTTGTTGCACCAAAGTCCAGCAAAGCAACCTGTGGATTGAAGAACAGCTTGATTATACCAAGAGATGAAGCCAAAACAATACACTTACTTTCGATGTACTGTACAAAATGCTCATATACAATAAATAAACAAAATCAATACATACACACTGTGGGGTTGGGTAGGATGTTAATATAAATGTTCTAATAAAATTTTGTAAATAAATGATAAATATTACAAAAATGGTATAAATGTAAAGTTTTGAAGATTTTTGAAATCAAAAGTAACAAATATTATCATTTAAAAATTCTACATTGTATTTGAATATATAATTTATCCCTCTGATCGTAAAGCTGATTTTTTAGTAGTCATTACTCTTCAGTGTTACATGATCCTTCAGAAATCATTCTAATATGCGGATCTGCTGCTCAAAAAACATTTCATCTAACCATTATTATTATTAATAATAATAACATCATAACACTATTTTTAATAGAAATCTTTTGTAACATTATAAATGTCTTTGCTACCAGTATTGAACAATTTAACACGTGCTTGAAGTAAAAACATCAACAGCAAAAAAAATTTAACTTTTTAATAATAGTGTACATATTTGCAACACCAGTCAAAAGATAGAACACGCCAACTCATTCTTTACTAATATTTTCTACATTTTAGAATGATAGTAAAGTCAAAACAACTGAAAGTATGGGAATTATGTTGTGACCAAAACAAAAGTTTAATTCATCAAAACTCTTCTATTTCAGCTTCTTTAAAGACACCAGTATTCAAGCAGGTTTAAAGCAAATTCAGCCATGTGGGTCTAAACTGGTCGTGTAAACAACCAGGAAAGGTCATAGTGGCATTCTCTCTTACCCTGTTGGTTTGTGGATCATAAAAGAAATTGGACCAGTTGGGATCCGTCTGCATGTATCTGAACTCGAACAGCTCCCTCAGACACAGCATCAGGATGTTCTCGCAGATCTGTGCAAAAATAAAAAGTATGGTTACTACACCTGCACTAAACTGCGTTAAATCCACAGTATTTAGGCTTTAATGCATATGTAGTACTTAGTATAAAGTTATAAATCAGTTCTAACTCAAAACAAATCAATGTTTTAATGCAATGTTTACAAACTACATAAATAATGAGCATTTAAATCATAGTTGTATGGTCTGTTTAAAAATTTCAATCACATTTATTGCCTTCATTTATGGCAGTGTCCATCATTTCCTCTATTCACGAATTTGGTCAACAGTTTATTTTAAACATCATTCCTTAACTTTTTTTTTTTTTTGTATGGATATGACCTTGTTTACACTTTGCCCTACTAATGCAACAAAACACTTCCATCATCAGGTGGCGATAATGCTTCAGGAAGCTCACCGGCTTCCATACTGGCCACGTTTGAGACCATGTGACTCAGGTATCATAGAATATAACGAGGCCTGATACAACACCACAGTTCAATGTGCTTATACAACTTGCTCAAGTATAATGATGCTAATTACTGTAAATAACAGTAGGAGAACTGAAATGACTAGAAAGTAAGCTGAAAATATTTTTCAGTCCAATAAGGTAGCGACCAATTCATAATCCAATAACAAATGTTTTGAATGTTTGTTTGTTTGACGGTCTGAACGTATATGGTTTCTGTGAGTCCTTAAGTCTTAAATTTAGATGTAGCAAATTTAAGCGATAAAAAGTCTTAATTAAAATCTTAATTATAAATGTGAAAGTTTTTAAATTTGAGGACGGAAAGTCAAGAATCAAGAAATGGTTTAATGTGATGGTTAAACTTCTAAAGGCTATGAATTCACTGAATAAATATAAGCCTGTCTTTTGTTCAAACCAATGCAAAATTGACCCGTATTTTTATGAAGCAAACACGCAGTTGTAAATGTGAACTGGTTTAAGCCTTAAACTTGATTTTTAAAATCCTGCAGATACCTTAGTAGATGTAATAGTCCGGTTTCTTTTCATTTCATTCATTGCAGAAACAATTTTACCAGCAACAGTGAATACCTCATTTTTCAACTCTTGTGAAAGTCCATCAGCCTGATCCAAGGGAAATCCAGGCACCAATTCGGTGGTGAGGACGTGTTGGCTGCTGAGTTCATCGATTACCTCTGGCACGTAGAAGAAGGGTTGATCTTTCAGAAGTTCCCTGCCAAAAACCACAAAGCTTCTGAGTCACTGAGCACAAGTCAGCATCCCCGTAAAAAAAGCATGCCACCCAGCATGTGCACCACAGACAGAATGTGATGAACACACAGACACAGACACACACACACACACGTCTGCTTCTGAAGGGAGATGGGGAATGACAACAACACAGATTTACAAAACATGCAACGTAATCCAGTGGCAGTAAATATGTAATTACTAAAAAGGATGCCGCACACTTCAGCACTGCAAAGTCATTATATAGGCAAGATCATTTCTCAGAAACGAGAATGTATTATCAAAATTAAGTGAGGTTTATTCTTAAAATAAGAATAATATATAAGCAAATGGGGTATGAAAAATTAAAAATTAAAAGGGAAAACAAGTTTATTTTTCCTTACACTCATAGCTGTTTTTTCTTGTTTTAAACATAAAACACATTTAGATATTTGTACTAGAAACAAGACATAAATAGTAAAAAAAAATAAAGTAATCTTTTGCTGTGTGTAAACACTACTGAGTGATGACTCAAATGAATCTTGTTTTCTTTTAACCATTATATTACATTCATTTTTTCTATAAAACCACTTTTAATAAAGTTTTCAGACAAGCTTTTGTTTTTTTCTAATCTAAGTCTATGGAGGCGTTGAACAGTATTAAACGCAATTTTACAGAAACTATCCAGAATCTGTGAGTTTAGCAACAGTAACCACAGATCATCTAAATGTGAACTGTCCATATGAACTAATTCAATAAAATCAATTTGACTACCTGACAAAGAGAAGATATTCTAGAAGAATGCATTTCATTATTTCCTCAGCTCTTTCGGATACGAGGCTGTGCGCGCAACGTGTTTAAACTACGTCAATACTTACAGAAAACAAAAAGTGTTACATCATTTTGAAAAGAGCTAATCTGCTGAACACAGAGTCTTCATTGGTCTGCTCAAAAGTAAGACACACCTCACCCTGAAGGCATGTACGTAACCATATCTCTCTCTTGGAACGCGTGTTTCATTCTTCACCCTCCCTGTGAAGTCAGGGTCCCAGTAGAGGACAGGACACGGGGTACGGGCTTGTTGTCAATGTTTATTATTTCCATTTGTGCTATATTTAAAATATGTCAGCACGCAAACTGTTCCTTAAGATCAAATCATTCAATCCTTGGCCTGCAAGCAAAGCGGTTATTTTTAGCCCTGTGCTGAGGCCACAACGCTCCAGAGAAGCTGTTATATGAGGATACAGAAGTGCACAATCATTCGGAGCAGTTGTAGTGTTTATTTTCGTGTGTGTAAACCTTCCTTTCAAAGGCATTATGGGGTACAGAATGGATTTAGCTTGGATATCCGGCACATGGCAGCCTGAAATGTCCTGTAGACCGCTTGTGAGCCCACAGCCCACCCATGGTTTTATAGAGGGGTAGATTAACGAATACAATGATGGGATGCTCTGAAGTAGCAGTGAGAAAAATGTCTCCCGCTTGTTTTTGTTCACTCACTTGAATTTCCGAGCACACTTGGCTTCTCTTATGTAATCACACTCCAGCGCCAGCTCACGTCGCATCACATCTATCAAATGCTCCGGGAACAGACCTGCACATTCACAGACACAGTCAGACATGAGTTAGTAGGTTAGTTCAAAAAAAAAAAAAAAAATAAATAAATTTTGATTCGAGTCACCAAGAGGTGGCACTCACAATTCTTCAGAGTTTATACTTCCCTTGTGAAAAAGAAGTGCACTTAATGTAGTGTACTTTAAATCGTAAACTGCAGATTATAAATCTATTTTTTTTAAATAGCCACTTAAGTGTACTTAAAGGGATTACACTTTATAGACATGTTTAAGCACACTTAAAAAGTGCACTTTGGAATAATAATGTCAAATTTAAGACTTGCTTTAAAGTACAATTCTGAAGAACATTGTTTTAATAATGAGAAAAATGCATCATGAAATCAGTATCGGGAAAAATATCACATTACGAGTTGAGTGAATAACATCCCTAGTTTTAATAATGTTTTGTCATGCTTTAAAGAAGATCATTACAAATGTTTTTAAATGAATGTCATGCAAATTTCAATAGTAATTCAAGTACAATTCAGTTTACCACAAATGCTTGTCAGTGCATTTGGCAGTACACTATAACCATATTTAAGACAACAAAAATAAACATGATATTACACAAATATATACTTATGTCCTATTTAAGTGGGCCAAAAAAGCATGTAAAACAAACTGTATTTAATTGCAATTAAGTGCCTGAAAAAATTTAATTCACACAATTGTATAATGCTAACATGTACGTGTGTTTCACAAGGGTTGGCAAGACATTACAAAATATCTTAGGTATCTGCTTTGTGCCATTTCTCTCTTCTGGCAAAAAGGATGATCGACAACACTGTGGTGGCATTTACAAGCTCAAAGGAAAGTTCAGACTATGTTTGGAGCATTAGGCTTCTCTGACAGCTGAACATTTAACTGGCATTGATCTTGCAGCAGTGGACGCTGTTGTAACCATGACGCAGCTTGTGTGCGAGACTCTGATTGGTCAGCGTGCAGTCTGAGATCCATCAGCCCACTGAGACCCAACAGGCCCTGAGCTCCCAGTTCTCAGTTTGAAACACACTAAACATAGATTTGAGTGCACTGACACTAAGCTCTTGGAAAAAATGGGGTCAACGAATGTTTCAAAACCAGTGCAATTTCATAAGTTTATTATTTTGACTTTGGCTACTCATAGCCAAAACATTTTAGAGCTTACAAAAATGCACACTACCTTTCCAAAGTTTGGGGTTAGTACTATTTTAAAGAAATTATTACTGTATTAAATTAATCCCAAGGGACAGTAAAGAAGTGTATTTCCAAAAATGCTGTTCTTCTGAACTTTCTATTCATCAAAGATGGTTTCCACAAAAATATTAAACAGCACAACGGTTTTCAACATTGATAAGAATAGGAAATGGTTCTTGAGTTCCAAATCATCAGATTACAATGATTTCTGAAGGATCATGTGAAACTGAAGACTGGAGTAATGTTGCGGAAAATTCAGTTTTGCCATCACAGGAATAAATTACATTATAAAATATTAAAAAAGAAAATAAAAAAAGTTAATAATATTTTAAAATATTGCCGTTTACGTTTAAAAAAAAAAATCTAATTAATGTAGCCTTTGTGAGCATAAGAGACAACCTTTAAACCCAAACTTTGAAATGGTAGTGTATACTTCCTGTAAAAAAAATTTTTAAATAAATTTTTCAGGAACCTTGACAGGTTGCAAGATGTGCAACTTGCATAACTGCATCTGCTTCTTGTAATATTACATTATACTACATCAGGTGACAGCAATTGACCTTTTTATTTGATTTCTGTGCTTTTATGTTTGTAGTTATATGACAAAAACCAGACAGGAAGTAAATGGACTGGTGGGATTAGGAAATAACCTGAGGTGCTCACATTTGCCATCTACATGCATCCAATCATTTATTTACCAAAAATTCTAAAAATCAAAATGTACGGTCATCACCTTCAGGAAGGGCGTTACTCATGCTCAGGACCGTCATCAGGTTATTCACATCGCTGTTGATGCTCTGTGCGACTCCAGGGTACTGCAGAAACCAAGAGTAGGTTACACTGGCAACAAATCGTAACACAAAACACCTCCAGCAAAACAGCCTTGACCTTGTTGAGCGCATATTGGTGGGCTAGTTTATTTCAGAACATTTCAAAACTGTTTGTTTTACTAAAAAAAGTTGAGAGGAGAGACTCCCAGATTTAGGTTATCTAATCATACCCATTCAGATCGATATCGTTTGCAAAAGCAGTTAGCGGGAATAGCTCTTAGGACTTTAAGCAGTTGGTGCTCCAAATTAACCTATTAGAAGACTGTTAAAAATGGGCATTTTACAGTACATGTACGTAACAAGAGGAAAGCTTGGTTTGTGGTTTTGGTGGGGAATGCGCTAACACAAGCGCAACATTGTACTACTGCTGCTTCAGATTAATGCTAACAAAGAAACCATGCTCCTCTGAATGATGAGATTACTGTAAATTTTTTATGTTGTATGTAACTGACAGGAAATCAGGAAATTTCACTAAATATAATGCAACTTATTTCTTCATTTAAAAAAAGTATTATTTCTCTATTTAAAAAAGAAAATACAAATGGGTTATGAATAAAATCACCTTTAATTGACCAATGACTATCAGCTGCAAAAAGATAAAATCGTTTTATCTTGTGTGGCGTCCCATTAAAATTAACTTTAAACACCTTAAAGGGGTCATATGATGCGATTTAAATTTTTCCTTTCTCTTTGGAGTGTTACAAGCTCTTGGTGCCTAAAGAAGATCTGTAAAGTTGCAAAGACTGAAGTCTCAAATCCAAAAGACATTCTTTAAGAGAGTTAAAGTTAAGAGTCAACCACGCCCACAAAATAAACAGCAACATCATATGACCCCTTTAAATCTTTATTGATCATCAGGACCACTCTTAAAAATAAAGGTGCTTAAAAGGTTCTTCAAAGCAATGCCACAGAAGAACCATTTTTGGTGCCACAAAGAACCATTCAGTCAAAGGTTCTTTAAAGAACCATCTCTTTCTTACCTTTATATAATCTTAAGAACCTTCTTTCGCCACAAGAACCTTTTGTGAAACAGAAAGGCTCTTCAGATGTTAAATGTTCTTTATGGAACCATTTAGACAAAAAAGGTTCTTCTATGGCATCGTGAAGCACCTTTATTTTTAAGAGTGAAGTTTAAAATAGTACTTTTAGTCTGAAACCAACCTGTATTTTCATGGCGACTTCTCGACCGTCTTTCATCCTGGCCAGATGGACCTGACCAATAGAGGCAGCAGCAAAGGGTCTTTCCTCAAACATATCTAGTTTATCCCTCCAGTTTGGGCACAGGTCATTGTTCAAGGCTTTCTGCACAGATCAAAAAGCAAGAGATGTGTACTTTTTTTTTTTTTTTTAATTCTGAGTTATGATTTTCAGATGTAAAACATTAAATAGGTGGTACCATCATCTGTTTGATGGGCATGAAGTCAGCACTCTGACGCACACGTTCGAAGATCTTGGCCAGCTGTGGGTTGATGAATGCATCATCTGAAACATTAAACACACATCCAGTGTTGGTATAGTACAGTGCTATTCTTCAACAAAAGCCAAATGAAAATGATGGCCCTGTTTATGGCTGGTATCATCCTTCCTGGGTGATCAGATCCCAAGTGCTCAGCTGACACTCAACATTTAAAATTTTAATATGCTTTAAAATGTCATTTATTCCGGTGATGGCAAAGCATATTTTTCAGTGTAACACGATTCTTCAAAAAGCATTGAGAAACCGTGATTGACCTGTGATATAAACATAAACATGGTAAAACCACTGTATAGAATGGCTTATTGCTTTATTTTTGTGCAAAGGTTCACTGATAGGCGAGTAGGTGTCCCTGTGAGTAGCTGTTGTTTAGGACACATTAGTGTTTACTAGTGCTGTTAAACGATTAATAGTTCCAAAATAAAAGTTTTTGTTTACATAATATATGTATGCTGTTTATATTTATTATGTATATATAAATACACAAGCATGTATATATTTCAGAAAAATAGGTTGTTTATATATTAAATATATTTATAATATACATTTTATGAATATAAACACAAACATGTAAATACATATGTTCAAAATATATACTGTATGTGTGTGTATTTACATATACACATAATAAATATACACCGAACACACATATATTATGCAATCAAAAACTTTTATTTTGTATGCGATTAATCGTTTGACAGAACGAGTGTTTACACAACAAATGTGATGTGGTCAAATGCTTTCCTAAGCTATGAATGTTGTTTGAATGATTGGATCACTTTGTATTTTGTGCTCCCCACTTATGATTAGATCACTAAAGGCAGATGATGTTGATTCCAGGTATAATGGGTGCCTGTATTTTCTACTTCAAATCATTAAAATTCATATAAAAAGAGAATTGTCAAATGCCTTACAATACAATACAACACAGTCTTGCGTTGCTTCTTGCTTTCATAAATCTGTTGCCATATTACAGGTTTACTTGGTTGGCTGCAATGCACAGTCAATCCATAACCGTAAACAGGATTTTAGAGATGGATTCACGAGAAGAAACTGTGTGACAGATGTATGGCACTGTAAACACTCTCAAGTCTTAAGAAGCCAGAGTGAGAAAGAGAGAGAGAGAGAGAGAGAGAGAGAGAGAGAGAGAGAGAGAGAGAGAGTTTGTGGGCCCAAGCAGCCTGGGCCTGTACGTGAAGATTTTACCTGAGCCTGTAGCTCCTGATCTTGCTTCCTGGCATCTTGCAGCTGCCTGAGAAGCTGCTGGTTGCGGTCGTGTCCCCTCTGGAGCTCCTGCTGGCTTTCTTGCAGCTCTCTCTGCAGATCCCACAGTCTCTGCTCTTGGACGTCCAGCTATCCAACCACAATAGAGGGCAGGGCGCAGAGGAAGAGAAAATCAATCCACTACAAAGAGCCTCTTTCTCCGTGTAAATACATATGTTCAAAATATATACTGTATGTGTGTGTATTTACATATACACATAATAAATATACACCGAACACACATATATTATGCAATCAAAAGCTTTTATTTTGTATGCGATTAATCGTTTGACAGAACGAGTGTTTACACAACAAATGTGATGTGGTCAAATGCTTTCCTAAGCTATGAATGTTGTTTGAATGATTGGATCACTTTGTATTTTGTGCTCCCCACTTATGATTAGATCACTAAAGGCAGATGATGTTGATTCCAGGTATAATGGGTGCCTGTATTTTCTACTTCAAATCATTAAAATTCATATAAAAAGAGAATTGTCAAATGCTTTACAATACAATACAACACAGTCTTGCGTTGCTTGTTGCTTAATCTTTCATAAATCTGTTGCCATATTACAGGTTTACTTGGTTGGCTGCAATGCACAGTCAATCCATAACTGTAAACAGGATTTTAGAGATGGATTCACGAGAAGAAACTGTGTGACAGATGTATGCCACTGTAAACACTCTCAAGTCTTAAGAAGCCAGAGTGAGAAAGAGAGAGAGAGAGAAAGTACTAAATAACAAATTGCTGGATTCAAACCCAGTGAAATGCTGAACTGCTACAGAGTTGAAGGCATGATTGTCTCTGCGTACATCATAAGTAACTATTAAAAAAAGTAAAGCTTATCTTTACAGTTGCCATGTTTTTTTATCCTGGTTCACTTGTTTGACCCAGATTAGTGTGATGACCTCTTATTTTCTCAGCTGATAATGTCGCTGAGAAATGTGGGCTACTAAATCATATTTGAACAGGACTAGTTTTCCTGAAGGAGGTATGAAAAAAACAAGTGTCAGTAAATCATACTGTGAAGCAAAAAACTATGCTTGTAAGAAACATTTAGGCTTTTAAACTTTGTCCACCAACATATTTGATTAGAACTGATTTGGACTGTTTTAACTTTTTTATTGGAGAAAGCAATATTATGGATACTTTTACCCAAAGCAGTGTTTTGAATTCAAAAACCTCTTGATGGATTTGTTTATTACAAACATGCAGGACTGGATTCATGTCGAATACTTTTGGATTATTGTGATGTTTTTATCAGCTGTTTGGACTCTCATCCTGATGGCACCCATTCACTCCAGAGGATCCATTGGTGAGCAGATGATGTAATGCTTCAAAATTTCTCAAAATCTGTTCAGATGAAGAAACAAACTCATTTACATCAAGGGTGAGTAAAATTTCAGCAAAAATATATTTTTGGTAAATTATTATAAAAAAAAAAAAAACAGGAATATTCAGCGCAGTAACAACTAATGGGACAAATGGACCCATGTTTTTTTTTTATATAGAGGTCCAAAAATCTTAAACAACCACTGTATGTGCCATTTAAAACAAAAAATAAAATCTGTGCTGCTAAGAACCATTTCTATGTAAACAAAACCCCACAAACTGTTGGATCAGGGTCTTCATTATCTCTGTGAGGACATTAGAGCTATTTCAGGATGTGATGATGAGGTCAAAGGTAATCATTATCCAGCATGTCGGGTGTCTACATAGATAAGATCTAGTTACAGACCGCTGTTCTCAGAACACATTTGCACTCTCAGTTCCCATATGCATTCAGACTGTCATAATGCAACTCTGTAGTCACGAACAAAGCTTTGAGTCTTTAGTTGCAAGCAAGACAACAACAATAAAATAAATAAGCTGGAAAACAATTAAAAATGTCGCAACCCAATATTCAAGAATAGTGCACTAAAGAAGTGTACAGGTCTCAAGTCAAAGACTTTGTATTTTAATTTAAAAAACATGAGAAAGTAAAAAGTGGTTCATTCGGAGCACATAAAATACATAATGCATTTAAAGTCAACACCTAAATCAACCCTACATACTTAAAATAAATAAAGCATTAAAAAAATCAAATCAAACGTATACCAAAAAGATGAAAATAAAATTAAATAAAATCTTTGCTTTCATAACCCTTCATTTCAATTTAAAAACTGCAATCTAAAATAGAACATGTTTGTGTTAGTAATATTAAATTAAAATGTAATAACTTTCATCACCTTCAAAATGACAGTATGCTTAACACTTTCATAATGGTACCCTGCTACAAATGCTGTTTCACATTGCTTTTAAACACGCCAAAACAACAGTGGCAGTGTGTATGTCCGACTAAAGCTCTCTCTATGACATAAGAAGATTTGAAGTTGAGCTGAGAGATCCTGGATGATGGGAGGGGTGCACATATTTACATGCACAAGCGGTGAACAAGGTTAAACATTTCAAGAATGAGATAAACTTTTAAGAAGAGTACATTTCAATACTATATTGGCATTTTTCATACCAATTACACAGATGCATATAAATATTTTATGATCTGTGATGCAAAAACGACTTCACTACATTGAAACAGCCTCTCAGCCTTGACAGCAGGCTAATTTAAGTGCACTTTAGATCAGGAAACTGTGTAAATGTTACTGTGTTTATTATTATACATACAGCCCAATTTAAGCAAACACAGACAGTCAAAAGAGCAATGGTGCTCTCCTGCCTAAGAGTAAATAATACCATACGCACACTTGATTTTCAGTTCTGTTTGTACTGAAAGAGAGGACAAAAAAAGGAAAGCTCTTTTCATTGCTACAAATGATGCACATTGGTTAAGATCAGGGTTGTTGTGGGTTCTGGTAGGTAGTGCACATGTGTTTATGTGTGGGTGACTGGAGTTTAAATACCCACAATCTCCTTCCTATTCTTTCATGTCTCCTCACTCACTATCTCGCTGTTAATAAAATGGTTTAAAGTCCAAAAACAAACAAACAAACAAACTCTAATTGCATGCAATTTATCACTTGTAATCATACCATGCCTGATAGCATGTCAATAATCAATAAATGTTCTAATGAGTTATTAGCTATACATTGTACCCATCCAAATTGTAACTGTAAAGTTCAGTTCTAGTAGATAATGCAATTGTCTTACCATTCTTGTCCTCTGATCTTAGACTTTTTTTTGCCACTTCTGCCAAAGCTCCAATACCCAAACCCACAGCAAGACCTGCAAGGGATTAAAAACCAAAAAAGAAATGGTCCATAAATCAACATAAGTTAAATACTGAAACAGTCATTATCACACACCTCAAATCTGCACTTCCACCATGTAAACAAAACTTTTAAAAAAAGCTGTATCTCTTAGACTGATTTGTGAAAAATACCCACAACAACACTGGAGCTGTATTATGTCAACTTGACAAAAG